AATTACAAAAATTCCAACTAGTCCAGAGGCCCCAGTCTGGTACCAGACCAAAGCACCAGTTCCACTGGAGGGAGGCAGTTACTTAATTTGGCCTTAAATAACCAAATTTCAAATGTCAGAACTGAAATGTATTTTATCTAGCTGATGTAGATAAAAAAAACTGCACTGATTCCAGTTTGACAGATTACCAACTTTTAAAAACCCAGACCTGCCAATTCCAATTTTGGCCGATACAATTTTTTTGTCTGAAATATCGCTGAATTGGCAGCAGAGGGGTGACTATTGTTAACTGGAAAGGTGCAGACATGACCTGGTGGGCCGGTCTATCAGTCAAACCTCTCTGACAGCAGAGCAGAAGAGGACAGTGGTTGATTTTTAGACCTTTGCTGAGGCAGACAAGTATCGGCCGATCACCAATGCACCCCTAATTTTATCCATTCACTTCCACACTTCTATGGCCATTTGATTGCATAATGGTTATTAGGAGTTTCATTTTACTTGTTATAAGAAGGAGAGAGCCCAGCAAACATCACTTTACGTAGCTCTCTTCAGCTCTTCATATCAAACATGAGTTTGCAAATACTGCAGCTGAAATCCACAGATAATTGAGACTTTGAAATGCAAGAAACTGCCTATTTTAACAGTTAACCAAATATACCCTTAGTGTAAAGAAGTCTTGTCATGACTGCAGTAGCCAACATCCAAGGTCTTTCTCATCTCGGCTGTTGGGGATACAGACAATTCACGGAAGGGAAAATGAATGATACTTATGGATTGGCTGCTTTGCAAACATCAGATATATAGAGTATCAAGTAGCATCTCACTTAGGTATTTCAGTTTCCCGTCTAATATTTTCTTTTGAATATTTTCTTGATATGCGCTACAGAAACCGTACATTAATAGGCGTCTCCCAACGAGTCAGGGGTTGACAGTGGTGTGAAAAAGACATTTGTCCATTAGGTCCATACTGCTGATGTTCACAGACTCGGAGAGTTTTCCTAAGTCCTGGTCCAAAAGGCGTCATAAACCAAATATCCCAGCCTCACTCCTAACTCCTGTTTAAACAGAATTTGTGCCTTTTCCTTTTCTGATATATTTTACAAAGAAAAAAAGCAAAGAAAAGCTTTAATATGTATGATAGTCAATCTGTGTGAGACAAATTACTACTTCTCACTTTTGTGTTTTTGTTTCTTGTGGTAATCCAGTTTACTAGCATACATGAAGCTCTTTCCGCAAATTTCACATGGAAAATCCCTCTTACTTGTGTGTATTTTCATGTGTGTGTTTAAATGATGAGGTCGAGAGAAGCTCTTTCCACATGTTAGACATGGAAAAGGTTTCTCACCTGTGTGGATCCTCCGGTGTTTATGTAAATGATCAATTCGAGAGAAGCGCTTTCCACATTTTTGACATGAAAAAGGCTTCTCACCTGTGTGGATTCTTTTGTGAACATTCAAATTTGCACCAATTGTAAAACATTTTCCACATGTATCACATGAAAAAGGCTTCACACCTGTATGAAGTTTCTTGTGCAGCTTAAAATAAAAACTGTGAGAGAAAGTTTTCCCACACGTATCGCATGAAAAGCGCCTCTCACCGGTATGAATTCTCTTATGAACGTTTAAACATTCCATTCGAGCAAAAGTTTTTCCACATTTTTGACAAGAAAAAGGCCTTTCACCTGTGTGGCTTCTCTTGTGCTCATTTAAGCTATACATTTGACTGAAACTTTTTCCACATGTTTGACAAGAAAAAGGCTTCTCACCTTTATGGGCTCTGTAATGCCTTTCCAAGCTGCACTGACTTGTGAGACTTCTCCCACAAAGATCACATGTGAAAGACCTTTGCTTTTTGTTAGTAGGAGAGCGACTCTCTGACACAGAGGAGCTGCTTCCTTCCTGATCATTGCTTTCAACTCCAGGAGAAATTTGAAAGGGAAGCTGCTCAGTTCTTTTTTCTTGTTCACTGAAATCACCTTCCTGAAGAGTGGATGTTTCCATCACATCCTGCTTCTGGACAAGCAGCTCTCCCTCCTGACTGCTGCAGAGGTTCGTAGAGCTGCTTCTGGCCCTGTCTACCTGGTAAATATTCTGTTCATGTTTAAGCACTGAAATATCTACTTCCTCATTTATTCTGTGGATCCACAGAGATTCTGATTCTTTCTCTTCCTTAATCCATTTAGTTTCTGGATCTTCCCATTCTTGAACTAGTTCTGGGTCCTTTTTTCCCTCTTTAATCTGTGGATGTTGTGTTTTCCAATGTTCTTTTATCAATAGAGAATCTGATTCCTTCTCTTCTTTAATCCATTTAGTTTGTGGATCTTTCGATTCTGGTTCATCCTTTTCTTTAGTCCATGGACGTTCTGGTTCCCTTTTTTCAATCACTGGAGCTTCTGCTTCCTCCTGGTCATGACTGGACCTCTGCCCCTGGTGACAGACATGGTGGATGGTTGAAGCTTGTGGCTTTTGGAGGTCTGTGGGGAAAATGAAGACAGCGTTAATATAATTAGATTGATGACTGTCTCATTCATCAACCTGCTTGTTCCTTGAGATCTCTTGCTGTAGGTGTGAGATGATTAGTTCAAAATTAGTTTGTAGTGTTTAATTGAAAGACAGGAGAAACTTGCAGGTTAATGTGTCATCCACGCTAAGTGGCAGCTCTGGTAAATATCTTTAAAAGATTTAAATAAATCCTGATTTTATTCCAGCACCAAAATTTCACACCTAAAAAATATTGAACTAAACCTATTTATTCAGTGGGAAACTCACACCACATTTAGAAACCTTTAACATAATCGCCACTGCCACAGCTGTTGTCACCACAAACAATTCTTATAAAATAAATGCAACTGAAGTATTTAAAACCACATCTGAGTCTTCTCATGTTTCCTATGACTATACACGTATTCTAATTTATACACTTTTAATTAGAATATTGTTTACATTCAGAGACTAGCTGTACATCGCATTTAAGGACCACAAGGACAAAATAGCTGAGATCTGACAAATCCCCCTTTTTAATTAAAAAGAATTGAGTATGAAAATATTTTTAATACAATCAATGAGGTGGTGCTTAGCATTTTTGTTGCATGTAAACCTTGAGCAAAAATGAGCAGGAAACTGTAAAATTACAAAAAGGAGATCTTCAGGTGCCATAAATATGGGGCATTGAGAGAGTTGGAGTTGCCTGACTGTTGAAGGCAGAATGTAGATGAGGAAGTGTGTGTGTGT